ATGCTCGTGGCCAGAGCATGCAGGAGTCCTCCCCAAATATTGCTATTTACCTTGGCGTGCTGTTTGTGGATCTCCATGTCAGGGTCCTGCTGTGACTGTTGCTGAGCTTCGGACATGAGGAGACAGGCTCCTTCTCCTACCTAAGAGCGGCTTCTCTCACTCCCTTTAAAAGGTAATTTAGTGTTGGCACCAGAGCTGGAAGGATTAGAGGAAAAGTGTGTATTCCCTCCATAGGGACAGAGCTCTGGCCAGTTTCGTTTACATGAATTATAATGTATTTACCCATAGGGCTCACATGCTGTCTTTTGTTGCTTTAGATGGAATTCCAGATTGCTAAATTCCAACTGTGTAAACGATAACAGATTGCTGCTGTGACTGCACCCATGAAAGCGCCTGGGAATTGGGCAGGATATGCCCTGAGGGGTGTGAGTCATCCTGACCTACAGGCAGTGAACTCTGCTTTGGAAATGTGATTCAAAGAAAGGATTTCTCCTGAGACATCAGCAGTCTATCCCAAGGTTGGGTCTTTGCCTAAGGACCTGTTTTGCTCTGCATTTCCTCGGGTCATTTTCACAGAGTGATTTTGCAAGAATGATCATTGTGCTGGTGACAACAACATTATTCTTGTTTGCACTTGTAAATGAGGGGCGGAAACTAAATTTACCTTAATTTGATTACAAACAATCAAAAATTTGAAGAAGGGAAATAGCTCGGCAAACAAACCAAAACATTTTGTTTGGCCTGACACAGAAATTTTTTTTCGGGTGAGAAAAGGGAAATATTTCAGTTTCTCATCAACCCAAACCACTATTTTTTGTCAATTCCACAGTCAACTCAAAACCAAATTACTTTCACAGTAATACTTTTGAAAACTGCTAAGTCTAGTTGGACCCATGAGTGGAGTTTAGGTGGGCGAGGGTTGTGACTAAGAAAGTCAGACCATTAGTGCATCTGTTGTCATATTAGTGCTTTCCAGCCTGACACCCAGACCTGGGCGTTCCCTGTTGCTCTGAATAAGCCACCGCAGCTACAGCAGAACAATCCAGGCAGCAGCAGTCAGTTGTAAAGGTTACCACCTGCCACCCAACCTGCAGCTGTTCTTCTCTGCCCTCACAACTGCATGTGTGCTCTCTGCCCATGCCTCTTCTGTCAACAGCATCCGGTGGTTCCCAGGAACTTTTAAAAACTTGTTGTCAAAGATAAAACAAAAATTACTTGCTTTAACCACATCTATTCCTGACAGCATATGCCAGGCATGAGTGTGAGGGAGAAGAATTAACAGAGGCCTTTTTGAGGTAAGGAGACATCTTACAGCAGTTCTGATGGTTTGTCCATGTGGAAATTGGATTGCATACCAGGTGTTTTGTAAGCAGAACACAGTAATTTAAAGGCAAAATTGACCCTTTGTGATCTGTGTGATATGTTGAGCTGGTGCACATGGTTTTGTTTTTCATTGCTGTGCAGCTGCAATGTGTTTCAGAAGTAGCGTGTACAGCTCAGACCTGCACAGACATGTGGTTACCTACTAATGTAAAGGCCAGTACAACTTCTCTTTAAATACCCCGATGCTCTAACAGCCAGATCCACCTTGGATCCTGCACGACTCATCATAAGCCATCTGATACCTTATTTTAAACCTGCTTCTCTCAGGCAGGGATCAGCTGCAGGTGTTTTAACAAGAAGCTGCTCTAGCTGATCTTCATTTTAATCTGTGTTAAACCTCTTGTCCTAGAAGGGCCTGATCTCACGGGGAGGGAGACACACAGAGGAACTATTTGCTTACCCACATAAATACAAGCACATTCCTATTTTAGACCAAAAGCTGTTCAAGCCAAGGACTGTCATGCATTATGGATGTGTAGACTGTTATTTTAGCATAGGGCTTCAGTTTGTCCAGAGATCCAGATTCTCCACTGTCCCTATTACCAAGAGGAAGGCTGGCTAGCTGACTTCCACTTCACGAAAAGCTAAATAGCTGTTTTAGAGAGGTAAATAAGCTGTTCAGTAGTGATCCCACAAGTAGTATTGGTGCCATCGTGCCCATGCTCAAGCCCCACAGTTCTTGTTAATGTAAATGTGGGGTATGTTGTAGTGCTGGAATTGTTCACAGTTTCTGTGAACTAATCCTGGTTTTTTCAGAATTGGGTTTTTTTGACACATTTGTGTTGGGTGGTTGAGAATGGTACCATGGAAAGACAAGTGTGGATGTTCCCAACCATCCTATGGGTTTTATGGTGTCCCATAAGAGCAAAGCTCACCTTGCTGAGTGACACCAGCATAAGGCCTGTCTCTGTACCTCATCTACAGTTTTGATGCAATCTTTGAAATAGTTGTGGCATCTGTTTGAGACAGAGAGGTTTAAATGTTGATTGGTGGTGGAGTAGTAAAAGTCAGTGACAGAGACATACGTAACATGGTTGTTATGCTGTTTTCCTAAGGAAAGTGAACTAGGAGAAGTGTATTATGAGAAGATCACTAGCAGGGCATTAAAATGATAGAGAATGTGCTTTTTTGCCTTCATGCTTCCCATCCTCCTGGCACACATAAAAGCTGAGGCCCATGTGGACTTCCTGACTGTCAGAGCTGTGGGGAGTCCTGGGGCTGTGGTCCCAGAACCCTCCACAGTCCTGTCCCAGCATTTGACTCCACTAGGACACGTCAGGGCTTAGGTTTCCTGCTTGGAGTTGCTGCTGTCTCTGAATAGAGGGGTCACTTTGCTACACAATGGGCATTACCAAAACTACAGCCATGACAGATGTGAAACACGGTGTCAAATGCTGAACAAGTGGGTCCTGACACTTGTAGGGGTGTCTTTTGTAAGCTTGCTTTCCAAAGCATTAACATGCTGTCTTCACACATCCATTCCTGGCACACTGACTGGCGAGTGGCTGAAAATAGATAAGCAAAGAGAAAGGGTCAGATCTGTGAGAAAACCAAGACATACACCAGGATTGTGTCTGGGCCCAGATATTTCAGGATTAGTTGGAGAGAGCCTGGTTTCTCTGATAGATACATTAACTGGGAGGAATTTTGAGGCTGAGTTATTTCAAGGGAATTTCTAAGGCTGCATGGAGAACATCGCCCTGTGCTCAAGAAAGGGCTCAGACTCTGGTGCAGTGGCACTAGAGCTGGTGTAACCACTGCCATGATCCCACTCTCTCCATCCCATCCTCAGCTGCACATTTCTGCCTCCCCTCTTGCATTTTCCCGGCAGTTGTGAGCTCTGCACTGAGCTTGTTCATAGTGCTAACCAGACAACAAAAAGGCCTGAAATGTCTCAGCAGACACCTCAACGAGGGGAATATGCAAGCAGGAAAGAGTGGAAAGGTAGAAACATCTTCCAGTACTTAAATCACCTTTGGCTGTTGTGGAACCCTCTGGGGCACACCTCTATGACAGGATGAAGCAGGGAGATCTGCATTATTGATAAGGCCACTGCATATTGTTGGATGCTCCCTCCTCCACACTGCTATCCCAAGTGGCTGTTCCAGCCCCCATAGTGCAGCACATGACAAATTCCCTTGTGTCAGCTGTGGGCTGGGGAACTGATCCCATTTGAAAGAAAAATAAGTATATTTTTCTGAATAATATTTATTCATTGATCTGTTCACCAGCACGTTTGCACAATCACATGGACTGGAGCAGCTGGGGGAGCACATGCCAGTGCAGTTAGGTGAAAATCAGTAGTACAGGATGGTAGTTTAAGGAAACCAAAAAGGCCAGGGATGGTTTTGCCCCTAAATACTTTGAATAAGTAATATCGAGGCAGAGAAACAGAGATTGATTGCTCCAATAGGAAAATAATGTTGAAAAATAATGTTGAAAAATAGGCTTTAATTGATGCATTGCTAAAGCATCATCTGTAGCCAAATTGCTAGTGATTTTTTTTTTGGTAAAGGCTGGGTCATATTTGTGCTGCTCTTAGAAGCTTGATCAGATATTAGTCAGGAGGTTGCAGTACTGCTCAGGACATGTGGCAGCCCTTTTGTATTGGAAACATCCAACTTCCTGACTCTGTGTTGCTGTTTGCTTACACTGCAGACAGCTGGAATAAGCAGCCTGCAACAGGGAAGCGCTCCTGGGCACACCATGTGGAGGTCAGTGCAGTCAGAACAAAGTCCCGATACCCTTGCCAGATACCTTTGCAACTCCAGAGTCTTGAGGCTGTCCTACACCAGGAGCCTGAACTGCCAAGGGACAAACAAGGTTTTGAAGCAGTACTTGTCTCTTCTTGTCCCTTGGGGGCCCGAATCTCCTCTGGGATGGGACATACTTGTGGTGTACAGCCCCCTTTATGCAGTGGCCTGAACCTGCTCTTTTCCAGACAATAAATTTGTCTGCATTTGTTAACAAGTTTATCTCCTTTTGTTCTTCTGTGTATTTTGTTAACTGAAGCAAAAAGCTCTTATCCTTCCCTGACTTTACCATTCCTGTGTTGCCAGAAAGCAATTCTTTCCAGCTAGTCCCTGCTGATGAGGTAGTCTACATGATTTAGCCAGATTAAATGAGCCCAGGCAGATTGTAGAAAGTAGTTTGCCCTGTCACACACAGTGACAAAGCCTGAAGCTGAATCTGTTACTTTCTCTTTGGTTGCTCTAATCAGAGTTTATTAGGACACATGGTTTGTGTGGAGACACACATCCATGTTCTGTCTTCTGGCCTTCCTGTTGGGTGCCCTGGACTGAAGAACTAATAGTGAAGGAGACACGCAGAAACAAAACCACCCTGTGAGATATGAAAGAGGGAGATCCTGGATAATGTCTGAGTTCCTTTGAAGTGAAGGATGAATAGATTAGGAAAAGTGTAATTGAATTAAAGCTACTCTCTCCTGGAGTAGATATACTTTTACCCTGGCTAAGCAATTTCCTGGGTGATTTTTATTTCCACTTTCCAGCACCTGCTTGTCTCAGAGGGTGACACTCCAGAGCCTGCTGTGAGCCAGTGCCAAGAGCCAGCATTTCTCACTCCCCTTGCTGCCCCCGCCCCCTGCGCCGCTCTCGGCACACACCCCGATATAGAATGACAGCACATTGCCACAATTTAAATGACACTGCCTCTGCCTCTGCGGCAGGACGGGTGCTGCAGAGAGCACCAGCCACAGCAGCTGTCCACCCTCACAGAACATCTTCATCATGGCCTATAAAGCAGCACATTTGGCCTTCAAGTCACGCTGGCACAAGACGGACGAAGAGCTCTGTCGGCACAGTATGTCCTTTGTCTTGCACAAGGCGATCCAAAATGACTTCTTTAAGTGTTACCTTTACCTGCTGGAGAAGCTTCCCCTGGGTGAGTAGCCGGTGGGCAGGAGTGCCTGTGTGTGTGTGACCGTGCTCTGGGAAGGAGTATCATGTTCTGTGTAGAGGGCAGACACATCAATGACAGCAAGTGTAGTAGTTCAGAGAAGCCTGGCTGGAGAGACTACAGTGCTCACTAAATCATTTGACTTTCTCTCTCTCAGCTCCCTCTAATTTAGTACCCTGTTGTTTTACCTAAATACTCCAGGAATTGTTAGAAGAGGGCAAGGGAAAGACCAGAGTGAAAGCAAGGTCTGGTTTCTGGCTGACGGTTCCTTATTTTGTCACCATTTGAGTAAAACACTCTTTGACCTGTTTGGAACTTGGAAGGACAAATGCAAAACTAGCAGAACTGACAGGCCTTGCTTTCTGTTGCCTGATACATGTTTTGTCATCATTCCGGGTGTCCTTAGCCCTGTTGTTTGTATTGTTTTGGACAAGTGCTTGAAAGGTAATGATTTAAATTTTTTTTTTCAAGAGTCTTCTTTACCCTAATCTCTGCAGCAGGCTGTCTAGAGAGGAAAATGCTTCCAAAACATTTGTTTATAGGCAAATTCCAGTAATAGCTTCTGGTACAGAATACCAAGACATCTTTTTTTTTTTTTTTAGATGCAGAAAATGAATGTTCACTTCTTATGAAAATTTGACCCTGAATAAGAAAGAAAATTTCCATAGTAAAATATAGCTAAAAAGTAGATTTGACTTGAGCCTGTATTACATTAGCAAGTCATGTTTTAAGCAAAATTATTTAGCCTACACTCAGTGTCAGAATTGTAGGAATTTCAAGATGGAAAGGATGAGTCTGTGCAATCTGTTAAACCACTCTTCACAGTGAATTCTTGAGAGCTCCTTCCTAAAGGACTGATCCATTTAGGTGAGAGGATTATCTTACCTGGTTGTGTGAACTATACAGATGCCAGTGAGAACTCTGCTCAGGAGGGTAGAACTCAAGTCCTGTAAAGAGAAAAAGCATTTCTGTTTATTACCGTAGTATTTTGGAGTGGCTTTTTAAATGCAGCAATATTTGCAGCTATTTGAAATGAAACATGGAAGATAAATAGTTCTATACCTAGTGGTAGGTAGCTGTGAATGATGGAATGGAAGGAAAGATGTAATGGAAGGGAAGTCAATTACAGGTTGATGAAACTTCATGAAGTCTATGAAAATGTTATTCTTTCATTGTTTTGAAAATAAACACAACATATTAGAAACTGAGCAGGGTTTTCTATCTTGTTAACTGTTAGTGTAAGTACCAATAGATCATTTTCAGGTTAGAAAGTACCATTATGACCATCTAGCTTAATATGTCATGTAAAAGTTCTGCATTCAGCTTGTAACTTGTGTCTGGGTCACAGTATGTATTTGTGAAAACAAAAATATCTTGGTTTAAGGGCTTCAAATAGCTGAGAATCCATCAGTCACCATTAAGTTGTTTCCAGGCCTAATTGCTTCACTCTTGTAAAGCTATATTTTATTTCTTGTCTGAATTTTATTTGAATTTCCATTCCCAGCCAACAAGATTTGTAAAATGTTCCTATCAGACTAAAGATCCCCTCTGCCCGGCTTTTCATGACCTGACTCATTAAAACTTCACTAAAGAGCTTAAAAGCCTATTGCCAGCTTATCCAAATTGCTTTGACTCCATGGAAAATGGAGTGTGAGCCCAGGCTTCCTGTGAACATGCCATATGTCTGTTATTCCATGGTTATTGTCCGGAGGGAAAAGTGGGCATGAGGACACTGCAGGGTAGCTCATGAACTGTGAATACACATCCAGGGAACTTCACAACATGTCAGGACTGCCATGCAGAGGCACCTAAATAGGCTGGAGGAAGAAGCCAGTGGGAAACTGGTACCATTCACATTCCCTGAAATTCAAAGCCAGATGCCAGGTTGTGTACCTGGAAAGAGAAAAACCTTTGGCAGCAATGCCACAGGCTGGGCAGGGACTGGCTGGGGAGCAGCCCCACTGGGAGGGTCTTGCTGGGCAGCAGCTGAAGGTGAAGCAGCAGCGTGTCCTGGCAGCAGAGCCAGCCAGCAGTATCCTGGGATGTTATAACCAAGGCATGGCTGGCAGATGGAGGGAAGTGGTTATCCCCTTCTCTGCAGCAGTCATTAGACCACATTTGTGGAATCTCGAATCCCCGATGCAGGAAGTGACCTGGAGTGAGTTGGGTGCCCTCCAGGGTGGTGAGGGAACTGGAGCTCATGCCCTGTGAAGACAGATTGAGGGAATGAGGAATGTTCATCCAGAGGGGAGACCAAATACCTACCCCAGAAGATCATAAGCAGATGAAGCTGAGCTCTGCACAGTGGTGTGAAGCAGGAGGACAAGAGACAGTGGCCACAAATCAAAACAAAACTAGTGCAGAGTGGGTGTAAGGAAAAACTCTTTCCCCAAGAGGACAGTCAGTCAGTGGAACAGGTTGCTTGGTGAAGTTGTGCAATTCTCTGTCACTGGAGGCTTCCTAAGTCTTGCTGAATAAAGTCCTGGGGAACCTCATCTGCTGTCATGTCTGTCCCTGCTTTCAGCATAAATTTGGATTAGGCCTCCTTAGGTGCCTTCCAGCCTGGATTATCCTGTGATTCAGTGCTGCAAGGGAAAGCACAGAATGTGGCAGGTCTGAACATCTCTGCAGAATGACATTTTCCAGTTCAGTTCAGAGCAGATCTGAGCAGAATTGAACTGAACTTCTCAAGCTTCAAGACTAGATCCAGATATCTCTGTGTAAACAATATTAAACAACTAAAGCAACACTAAGACTGTGACCCAGCAGAGTAGTTAAGCATGTCCTTAACCCTAAGCATGAATAATAATGCTGAAATCAAGCCTCCTGTTGAATCTTGCAGTGCTGCCCAAGGTCAGCAAGGTACAAAGCTTCCTTCAAGCTATGCTAACTCTACACTCCCCCCACTCCACTGCCAGGTTCAGTGGTGGAGCACTTTTGGTCATGTTTACTTAGGAGCTGAGCATATCTGGTATCACAGCCTGTTAAGAGAAACATGTCACTTTTACAGACCAGGGTAACATTTATAAATAAAAGACATGAGTAACTTTAGGCCCTGGTCCAACAATGTACTTAAAAGTGTGTGAGTGCCCTTAAGCCCAGTGGACTTTAATTGGAGCTACTCAGATGCTGGAAATTGTGCACATGTTTACATGGGCTGTGGGTCTCGGTGCCAGTGGGGTGAGATCTGCAGTGGAAAACTTAGATGATCCATCCCTGGAGACAAATATTCCTGTGTGTGAGGCACGTGTCTGTAAGTAGAATCTGTTCTGGGGGTGGGATGATGTTCATCCTCTATAAAACAGAATTTACATGGTTCTTAGACCACAGCAGAGAGGTGAATTCTACCCTGCACACCGATAACTATTTTTCAACTGAGGCACAAAGCAGATGTTGCATTTAGAAGGGAATACTCAGCCAAACTGGAATTAGTTCAGTATCTTGCAGAAAGCAGTTGGAGCCACAAAATAATGTTCAGAAATAAAAACTTCAGAAAAATTTCTTGCAACATTTACTTCTGCCAGGGAAATTTAGCTGAGTAAAGCCTGCAAACAAGAACTGTAAGACAGTGTACTGCAGGTTGGGATTGCACACAGAATTGTGTATTAAGGGATCAGTTTCTTTAGAGGTTTAGACCAGATGCACTGAAAAACAACATTTTTAACTGATCCATAAGAAAACATTAGAGATAATGTTTTTGGACTTTGCAGGGCAGAAGGCTCAGGTGGATCGTGTCTGTCTAGTCCCCGGGTTGGCATTCAGCTGTAGATCACCACTCTGCATCCAGACTGTGTTTGCAGTGACTGAAAATTATTAATGTCTCATGACTGGAGTGACCTTTAGGGAGCCATTCCTGCCCTCAGCCTGATTTTGCAGTGGGTTTGCTTTAACTGTCTCCACTTGGGGGACCTGCCAGCAGATTCAGCCGAGGGACAACTGTGCCATGGAAAAGTTTATTCTTAATTTACTGGAAACACATTTCTAACGTTAAATCTTACAAGTTACCTGCCTTAACACAGGAAAGCTCATGTATTAGACAGCTACCCACTCTGTAATGTCTGAGAGCCTCCATCGTCCCATCCTGCCCATGCCCTACTTTACAGAGTTCATTGAGCTCAGGCTGTGTATCTGCAACAGGCCCCACAAGTATTTCATTTCCTGATGCACAGGATAGTCCCACATGGGTCATGGAAAGGGAGGTGCCTCTGGCTGGATAGACCCTGTGATGAGGGGGAGGCATGCTGGAGCAGGGCTGCAGCACTGAGTGCCACCAAGGACTTGTATGCCTCCATGCACTTCTCCTTTGGGGTAGATTCCTGCAAGCTGCAAAGCTCCCTCTCCCTGTGGATCTGCTGCTGGAGCTACATGCCAGGCACAGCTGCAAGGCAGACCAGAGGTGAGGTTGATTGGCTGTGTCTGGAAAATTGGGCTGTGCACTGGGAGGCTTGGCAGTGCTGCAAATTCCTGAGAGGGAGGAGTAACACCGAGGGAGCAAGAGGTGAAAATCACCTTTAGAGATCTCACGCTGCGTGAGTGAGACTGTGGGTCCACAGGAGAAACTTTGGGTACAATGCCAGTCTTTATGTTAGCCTGTGTCCTTGCATGCCCTTGGGTGGGAGACATGCATAAAAAGATCCTTGCACAGTTTGATGCGTGGAGAAGCTCCTGTGGATGCTGACCCAGAGCTGGTTTGGAATGCCAGCACGGAAGGCAGGGCTGTGGGGCTCCAGCTGGCCCAGGAGGAGCTGCAGTCAGCTGGTGTGTGCATGCAAGTCCCGGCAGGAATTCTGCAAGCCTGATACTGGTTCTGAGTGAGAAATCTGAGAGCACACACTACAGATCTGCTATCTGGAACAGCATATCGTCCCCATGTGTTGCCTCAGGTCAGGCTCATGTTTTGAGTAGAGGGACTCTGAATATTTGTTGTTCATGCTGTCCTGTTGTGCAGACAGCCTGTAAATGCCTTTCCCTTCAATTTAACAAAATGGGATAAATCACTGTCCCTTGACAGGTCCATTAAACAAGCCCTGGAATCGTCACTGGACTCTTATATGGAAGATCTTCCAAAGCCACCATGCAGGGATTCAGTTCTGTTCACCAGACAGGCTGGCCTCTGAAATGGAGCAAAAGGAGACACAAGAGAAGACGAGATATTGCCACTCCTGGGGAAAGATGGAGATCACTTACTGGAAGAATCACAGCTGCCAGTGGAGTCTTTTTTCCAGGCTCTGGGAACCACCCTGGCCAAGTTGTGCTGGGGATTGGCTGCTGCCCCCTTTGTGTTAATTTCTTCAGCTAAATGGTTTCTTCTGAGTATGTGAATATAATCATCAGAGTGTGTAAAACTCACAGATTTGACCCTTGCTGGGCTCAGCGCTTCTTGTGGTATAAATTTCTCAGGCATAACATAAATGTGTAATGGATTAAAGCTTTAATAGTATCCGTTCAGCAGTTGACTTAAGCAGGTGATGACAAGAGGGGCTGTAATGCTGCTTTTGTTGGATGAAGGATATGCCGGGCATGCTGCTTATGCGTAATCCAATAGCACTATTCTGTTCCGAGTGGTCCTTGGTGGTAATTATTCCCCATCCTACTTCCTTTGTCCCCCCCCCCTCCTCATTTGCCTCCAAAATGTCATTCTCCTGCTGAGGATGGGCAGGCACACACTTATCATTCCCTGCTGAGCATGCTTGCCCTCAATAAATACATTCCAGGCTTATATTCAGGGCCTCTGGCCTAACTCTCCTCCTCGGTGTGGAGGGCATAATTCCTGCTCCCCAGCCGGCATAAGCACAGCATGGCCTGTGCAGACCCTTCCCAGCAGCGACTGGCAGTGCTCCCGGGGAAGTTTAAAGATGCAGTGACCAAGCACTGCTCCCTGGCCCTGCTGTGTGTGCAGTGGCAGGGAGCTCTCCCTTCCTGTTGTTATTAACCCAAAGGATGTTTGCTGCTGGATCATTTCCAGTTCCCTGAGCGCACAGGGAACCTGCAGCAGAGCTGGTCTCACACTGCAAGGTGGAGCTCACAAGGGATTGTTCCCACTGTGACTCCATCCCTCCTTATTGCTTGGCTTTCTCTGTCAGGCTTGCAGTTGTGTTTGTGTTGGAAGGTCTGTCACACACACAGGAAAATGCCTGGGCACTTGTATGTGCACATGGGATAGTCAGAGGGGATGGCTTCTGAGCAAATTTTATAGCCTGCCTTAATCCAAACTTCTGAGCTGCAAAACACAACTGCTTTGGATATGCTGATGCACATCAGATAGAGGGGAACCCAGGATGCAGAGCATAGACCTCAGCTTTTTAAAAGATAGAGGGAAATAGTCCTTTACCCACCAAAACTCACTGGTTTTAATAAAACAAACTTCAAACTACTGATTGCTTTATATTATCAGCAAAGCAGTCAAGCAGTGAAAAGAAACATCCAAGCCTCTGGCACACAGGAACCTTCCAGTATATCACCCACTGATTACCTTGCTCCTCGATCTGTGACAGATGACAATTTAGGACTGCCTCTCCTAAGTTGCCTCTCCCCATCTAGGCTTGAGACTACCACCTGTACCTTGGTTCAGCTTACTTGCAGTGCCACAGGCTGTACAGTACCACTAAAAATAGACCAGAGCAAGTGCCTCATTCATCCACTCTCCTCTTGGTGCACTGTCTGTGCAGCTGTCAATGGCTGGAAAGCATATCTGGAAATCTGCACAACAGTGAGGTTTGTGATTACAGAAGTGGTGACTCTGCATAGCAAGAAATGCCACCCACAGCTTTTCTGGGAAAATTCAGGCACCTTGCTCTCTTTGGTGTGTGGGTTCACTTCAAACTTGAAATGATCTTGCACTGACATGAAAACATAGTGGCATGACAAAAATGACCTCTGAGCCTGGGAGGCACCGAATTTGCCCAAGGAGGACTGTATCCCTTCAAGGTCTCCTGGGATTAAATCCAACAGCTTTCCTTCCACCATTGCTTCAGAAACAGGTTTGCTGGTTTGAAGGCTCAACTTCAGTTCATATATCTTTGTCATTATGCCATTAACTAAACCAGAAATATCTGTCATTAACAATAAAATAGTGATTTATCTGCTTGCAGTGAAACTTTATGCTTTGACAAGTCAAGTCATCAACGGGGAGATGCAGTTCTACGCCAGGGCCAAGCACTTCTACCGGGATGTGCCAGCCACGGAAGAGGGAATGATGGGAGACTACATCGAGCTCTCCAACACAGATGTTGAATCCTCCAGGGAATTTCTCAGGAAGTTTGTTGGGGTGAGTCATCTAATCTCATCTTCTGCAAGAAGCAATGGTGATGTGTCAAAATGACATGCAGGGTGCCCAGTCACATCTGTTTTAAATGGCTCCGAACACACATTTTGCCACGGCTTACATCATTATTTACCTGGTTTACATCCTTTTGTTACTCTCCAAAGCTGCAGAGAGGATTGTGCTAGGAGTCCTTAGAGCTGTTTTTGAACAGAGGATTAATTCTCAGTGCAGAAATGGGACCTTTCATGATAAAACCCTTGCTAGCTTCAGTGGCAGGTTTGCCTGTGTAAAATCCTGCAGTCCACCTGGGAAAGTAGCTGAGACTAAATGCCAAGTTTCTGGTTTGACTATTTGTAGATATTTCTGAGAATGCTGCAACAAAACCCAGCCCTCCCTCCCCATTTGAAATATATAGAATATATAGAATAAACTACACATTAGCAAAATATTTTTTCTTGAACATTCTAGTGTCACTGAGGACTATTTCAGGGAGATTATTAAAGGTCTGTAAATACCTTCAAAGGTCTGCTTTGACTGAGTTGCAGAGAGATGCCAAGTGGGATTTTAAGACCCATATTACTTTGATCCTTAGGTGTCTAAAAATCTTGTTCTTTCCTAACTATGTCTTTGAAAATCTAAAATTCTTTAGAAGTGTGGCCTGATGGTTTTCTAACTGCTCTTCCTTCTTCACAGGGGAAGAGCCCACTAAATTAGCTCAACAACAGCATTAGACACTAAATAATCCACAAAATTACAGGAAAACAATTTTTTTAAGTTCTCTTGCTGACCAAATGACTAGTTCTGTATAATGCACCATAGATCTTTAATTTTCTGCTCCAGTGTACAAATTTGGCATAGCCAGATGACCTTTTTTTAGCCTTAACGATCCGCTGTGGAAAAAAAACATTGAATAGGTTGATTAGATGTTGTGTATGGAAAAAATAATGGGTACATTTGAAATGGCTTGGATGGAAAATGAGTGTGGCTTAACACCAGATAGAAATCCTGCGTAGCAATGAAGGGCAAGTGATGGCAAAGTTTGCTGTACCTGGTGGATGGAGGCTTTTGGGGCCGTGAGCCAGCGGAGCACAGGTGAGCAGCTACACTTTTTAAATTAACAGTCATTTGTGTTGATGCCAATGCAAAAAAAAGGCTTTTCAGAGCCTCACCGTATCCTGCTTTCCATATCCCCAAAATGGGATAGAAAGGAGGTTCAGTGAGGAGCTGAACCCGATGGTGACATTTCTGAACGACATTTCTGAAAATGGCATTTGCAGAAAAAAATGAAATGCAGTTGAGGCACGTGCTTTAAATTTTGTACAAGAGTTGTTTTAAAGACATTTTTGGAATTCAAGGGGTGCGTTACTGTGTGCTCAGGGAAGGATCTCACACTTCCCAGACATCACATGGACTCGGCTCCCTGAGCGGCAGGTTTGTATCACACTCTTACACTTTTCCCGTCTCCAAGACCCAAAAAGGAAAGAAGTACAGTCTGCAGTAGAGTTTCACATGCCAAAGAGAAGTCATACCCAATGCATCAGGTGTGATGACAGATGCAGAATGCTCCGGAGCAGAGTTCCTACTCCTATAATTAGGCAGGGGTAGAAAGGATACTCTGAATGGCCAAGATCAAACAAGGAAAAAAAAAGAAACAGGAGTCTGCACATTTTGCTAATTTTGCTGATTTAATTTGCTAAAGCTTGTCCCCTGTTGAGATGCAAGTCAATTGATTCTGTGATTTATGGTTTATTTTACTTTCTTACTGCTGGAATTTGAATTCTACTCCACCAGATACAGATATTTACTGGCTTTCTGTAGCAGTGACTTTATCCTAATCTGATTTATTTCTTACCAAGTTTATGGCTCTATGAATAGGTGTTTTATCCAATAAGGTGATCAAGACAGAAAAAAACCAATCTTCTGCTTCACCCTAATATAAACTATAATTTCTTGTTTAAGAGAAGTTTAACAAAATCAGAAAATAGGAAAATTAATTTCAGATCAGCTAAACAATTTTTTTATTGTTTTACCCTCTGAAGAACTTTTCCCTTTGTTTTCGAGAGTTTGAGCCAGTTCCAAAATAAAAAATGCTCTTTAGAAACAAAAAGTTGACAAGTTTGGTTTCTTTTTTCCTTGAAAGTCATGAAAAAGAAGCCTTCTGACATTTTCAACATTCTTTCCCAGGTTCTTTTGGCTATAACTATTCTCTAGATTTGAAATAACAGTTTTATTCTTCAAAACCTTTATATTCTGGCAAAACTAGTGCTCCTTGAAAAACAGTTGCCCGGTTCCGCTCAAATTACCCCTCTTGAGTCAGTTTGGCTGGTGTGGAAATGCCACACAGTGACATTTCCCTTCCATGACTGATGTTGCATACCTTCAGGTATGGCATTTCTTAGCATGATTCTTTGCACCACTGTAAACTGAGCTACAGAGTTCTTTACCATTGGAGAATTTATCTTGCCTGGGCACATGGAAGGAATTACAGGAAGGACTGAGGACTTCACTTATATTTTAGCCTGTCTCCCTCCCAGGCGAGGCAAACGGAGTTGAAAGTGCCACTGTGCTCAAGTTAAGAGGTTTTATGTGTGTGTGGGCAGAACTCAAACCAAGAGCAACACACCTTGAGCCAAGAGTGCTGTGCAGACAAGCTCCAGGCTGTCTCAGGTACAGCCCTATGTGAAGGGTTATCAGCAGAGCTGCAGCCCTGAATATTTATGGCAGTGTGTTAATGCCAGGTAAAGCCCTGATGTCCACACAGACACTGTGTTTTCAAGTGCCTAATCCGGAGGTGAGTAAAAAAGGAAATAAAGAAAACAAAGAAACCATTAATTGAGGAACAGTTGTGAGCTATAGGTGTGTAAAATAATACAGACAGAGGCTGTGTTGACTTTATAGCTCCCTTTCTGTCCTAAACCCTTTCTCCCTTTCTAGCCTGCAGTTCATCTGCCTCATTGGTTACTTGATGAGTGAAAAGCTTCTTGAAAGTGATTTTTCTCCTGTTTGATCAGGAAAATGGAAGAGATGTTGTTGAAAACATGCTTTTTTGTTTTAATTTAGCAAGAAAACTCCTGTGATTTTTATCTATTTCTTGAACTCTGATTTCCTTTTTATCCTACATACCTACATTTCCTTTCAAGACCTGAAGTAGCATCAGGAACATATTCCACAGCTCTTTTATCCCTAAGGAAATTTTTGAGTGCTGTATTTAGCTTTACAGAAGAATTTGTGGGTGAATATGTGTCCTAAAGGGTGGTGATTCTGTGGGGAAGCAGGCAGTCAGAGGAGCTGTCGGTCTTAAATTTTGAAGCCTGTTCTGGCTTACAGTTTTCACTTATACTATTTTTTAATAAGGAGTCTGATTTTCAACTCAATTCGACTTTTGGGAAAATGATTGCCTTCCAAAGAAAATGTTAATACTCTGTCAAAGCCCTGAGCACTTCCAAACTGAAAATATATTAACTGAACATGGAATTATGTCAACATTTTCATTACAAGCGGAGCCGTGGTTTTTCACAAGGCTTCTCAACTGACTGCCCGATGCTCTCACTCCCTTTCAGCAAAGTGTGGGATCAAGCTTTGTCTCCCATGAGTGTTCCCTTTCCTTCCTCTTGATGGCCAACAGGGATGTGTCATCAGAGGTCCTTGCCGTGACATATCATGGGAGATGAATTCCCAATTCTGAGCGAGCTGCTGGGACTGTAGATTCTCTGAATCACAGATGTTGAAGGAGTTACGTGGCTTTTTGTTGGTGGTTGTTTTGGTAAATCCTCCCAGTTTTCTCACCAGCTTTCTCAGAGACTTTTACTTAATCAGATCAACATAGACCAGCGTGTGCCTGCTGGCAAACAGTATTGAAAACCACCTTGTAGAGATCCAAGACATAGTTCCTTCTCCTTTCCTGAGCTCCTTGTTACAGTTTAGTCTGGCCCTCAGGAAAAGCCACGTGCTCCAAAGTGCAGCCTGTGGATGAGCAATGGCTCCCATTTTCTGGCTAACTACAAACAGGGAGTCTCCAGAGTCCTGTAGGGTTGCAGACTTGTGGACTCTTGCACACATCAGGAGATTAATCTTCCTGGTGTACAAATTGGGACCAGCAGCCCTGGGGACTGGTGAGAGCCCTTGAGGGCCGTGTGCTCTTTCTACAGTTACTCCATGTAATCAGATGCTCAGCTGGGCTATTCATAGTCATGTCATTGACAGTGCTGTCCTTTGACCTTAATAATCTACTGAATTACCCACTGAAGCAAGGCCAGAAAAGTGTGAGTTACATGATTTATGCTTGATCATTACAGAGGGGAATCTCCCAATAAGTGGGAAGAGCAAGACTTTTCCTGGGCTTCTATCCTTTCAGAGCGATGAAGTTGCAGCAGGGACTTTGGCCCATAGCTTTCACTTCAGCTCTGTTCCAGGGGACAGGGAAAAGGTGTTTACATTTGCTTTTAATGTATTTGTTCAACAGATAACTTTGGCCAGGGGAGCCCCAATCTCACACTCAGTGCTTGTGCAGACTTAGAATTTCTGTTTTACAGAAGAATAACAGGCTCTTAAGAGCCTTTTTATAGCTCGAATGGAAGCTTTAGGGGTGAAATACAGCTTTCATTATAAAGCTCTTTTTACAGCACCTCATTATTTTCTCATCACCTTAGCCTTTGTACCATGTTTTTTCATGTCTGATCTCTGTCCAAAGATGACATTTATGAAGAAAAAAGGAACAGTTAAGCAAAATCTATTCAATCATCTTTCTTGTCGCTGTGCCTAAAAGACATTCTGTATATGCTCCAGCCCAAACTTTGTGAGCTGTCACACGTTACCTGCCACTCCAAGATCTTCGTTCAAACAGAACTTCATTCGCTTGTTTTGAGAACTGCATCCCTGATCCCAGGGATTATGTGTATCTGCAGAGATGTCCGTGGGAACCTTGGGAGTTCTGTGCTGCAGAAGTCACTGCTTGCATGCACTATTTGGGATATGCTTCCTTTTCTGTCAGGCCTTTACAGGGCACAGAATGAGGCTTATCTAGCCGTGTAGTCGGCCGTGAGGTGTGAATATTTGAAGTTGCAAGGACTTTACAAGGAGCAGTGGATCCTCTGAGAATGATAGGAGCTTCTGAAAGACTTTTTCTCTTCTTGTTCCAAGCAAAAACTTACTGCACAGCAGTAAATCCAGTAAGGAAGTCCCCTCAGCAGCAGGCTGGGAATGGGGTAGCCCAGCTTGGCTCACACAGTGGTACCCAGGGGTGGATTGATTCTTACCAATCTTGCAGCAGCTCTGCAGAAATAAGGAGACAAGACAATAGATTTGGTGGGCTAAGGACCATAGTGGATAACACAGTCACTATGATCTTTCAGGTGTGGCATTTTTCAGATTTCAGGTTCTTTTCTTGTGTCCCACAGGGGGTGGGGAAGGCCGGCACCAACCGCGCGCTGGACTGCGGCTCTGGGATAGGCCGGATCAGCAAGCACGTCCTGCTGCCGGTGTTCAAGAGCGTGGAGCTGGTGGATATGATGGAGAATTTCCTGGCCGAGGTCCCAAACTACCTGCAGGGCAAGGGGGACAGAGTAGAGATGTATTATTGCAAGAGCCTCCAGGAATTCACTCCAGCCCCACAGAGATACGACGTCATCTGGATTCAGTGGGTTTCAGGTTAGTTCGGCACCATTCACCCAGCCCCACATCTCAGAGAATATACAGCCTGTGCTCAAGTTTATGTTCAAGAATGGTGCAGCTGTAAAGGGAGGTTCTCAGACCTTTGGGATTGCTTCCTAAAATATCACAAGTGGCTTCTGAGGGTTCCCCCAAGCCACGTGCACAGTGGGTACAGATTAAGTGGTTTTTTTCAGGTTGTGGACTGGAGGAAGGTACCTGTTCCTGGAAAGCAGCCTGCATGCTGAGGTGCAGCTGAGGAGGAGGCCTTGTATATGGGTTTTCTTGAGGAGGAATCCTGCTTCTTACTTGCCCTTGCTGCAGACAGATGCACCAATGCCTGTAAATCAGATGGTGTCTTATACATGCACTGATACTTATTAAACAGGTTCCCTTAGCTATGTCCCACAGCAGACCCTCCTATAAAAAATATCTGCTGCTTCTCCTGCAGTCCAACAGACTGGCTATCAGATAATGTGGACTATGTTTCTTACATGTGTAAGAAACAAAATCATTTTTTCTAGAAAACTTGCTGCAGAAAGAAGGTTTTCTTCTTATCTGTTAACCTGTGTCCATGGTGCATTTGCAGCTGGCAAAAGGCATTACTTTAAATTATTTTGAAGCATAAGAGGAGGTCTGAACAACTCCTTTTATCCAAAACACTGGAGACAGTTTCTTGCTAGGCGAAATGAAAGATAAAGGTAGAGAGATTAGCACGGGAGATGGTTTTATTCAGAAACACTTGTCCTTTGCACACAGTCTTAATGAGTAATAAAACTGAGCTCCTTAGAACTCTAAGCCTTTACAGCTGTACAAGCAAACCAGTATCATTTTCCTTTGTGTTTTTGCTTTTCTGGAATAACGAGTCATTGCAGTAAATGTAGCTCCTGCCTCATCTTTTGAGCAAATCTGAGTCAATGCGAGGATGAATGAACTCAGACCTGTCCCACGCTCTGCTGGTCAGCTTTGTGGCTGCTGTCAAAGGCAGTGTGTGCCTTTTCTTTGGCATAGACACATATCTGAATCTTCTTTCTCCATCAGTTTCAAAGAAATAATTAATCAAACTTCTACCCCATCTTGAATTTGGCTGAAACGTGCCAACAGGTTCATTTGGTGGAGTGAGAGCAGGACTGTCTGCTAGAGAGCAATGCCTTGAAGATCTCATTTCCTTAGAAAACTGCACTAAAAGTTAATAAGTTCCAAATCAGTGTTTAAAAGCTTCAGTGAATCTTGCCATTGCCATCTTGATTCGTCTTATGCATGCATAAGTATGTGAGCCCAAGCAGTTATTTAATTAAAAAAAGAAAGTTTACATGTCATATAGAAATTACCATTTTCCTTCCACTTGAAAGGTATTCAGCTTTAGGTTTGGGGGCTTTTTCTTTTTCCTTTTTTTGGAGGGGTGGTTAAAGAAACTTGTCATGCCCTGTCAAAATGTTGTCTTAAAATGACAACTTCCAGTTATTAAAGTTTAAATCTTCCATCAACAAAACTAAATATTTGACAAGAAAATACAAATTATCTTTTCTTTCAAGTTTTTCACTCAGTTTCTGATCACCTGTCCTTGTTAATTCACGTTAGATGTTTCACACATCTCATTTTTATCTTCCCTACACCACTGTCCTCAGCGTAACAGAAGTCCTGATTTTTGAGAGGGAAGGATAAAAACCAGAATCTCAAAAACATATTGAATAAAGTACTACTTTTAAGTGTGTAACTATATGCAAAAATCCCAGAAGTATGGAGTAACACAAAGAGTCCAATTAGCAGTGTAGAAGGTCTTGCATTCCTCGTTGCATCTTTGATCCAGAGCCCCTTTGAAGGGGTTATGTAATGTTACACATGTTACACAAAGTTATAGAGATTTTTAGTTTTAAAAGACAGAATGGTCTAGTTATTACCTAATTAGACTGTCTAGATTATCTGTTAGATTGTCTAGTTTGATCTACTCTATATCACAAGCTATTATATTCGTTCCTTTAGCCTTGTACTGAGTCAGTAGTTTTTGTTCAATTTAAACATATCTTGAGAAATTCAGCCACTTGATTTGAGGACTTCAGAATGTGGTAAACACCACTTCTGTTGGTAGTTTCCAGTGGGTAATTGCTTACACTTAAGCAGTTGTCACTTATTCCCAATATGAATTTGTTTGGCTCCAGATTCCTGCCACTGATTCTTATTATGACTTTAACTACCAGATTAAAGAACCCTTCAGCACCCAGTATTTTCTCCTCACTGGCTTCTGTCCACATCTGCTGCTACTACGAACATGGTTCCTAAATCTTGATTTGAGTTTATATCTGTTGATCTCATTGATTTGCCCAAGATTTCATAATTAAATCTGTCAGGACTAGAACTTCTGCAAGGAGCAGGGTGTGGAGACTCAGATCAAGGTGCCATTCTGATGTGTGCAGGGGGGGTCTGGATGGTTACCGGTGATCTATTTTCCATCTTTTCATCTGTAGGGTATCTGACAGATAAAGATCTCCTGGAGTTTCTCATCCGGTGCCAGAATGGCTTGAAGGATAACGGTGTTATCATTCTCAAGGACAATGTAGCCAGGGAGGGCTGCACCCTGGATTGTCTGGACAGCAGCGTGATCCGAGACCTGAACATCCTGCACAGCCTCATTGAAATGAGCGGACTCACCATCCTGCGAGAGGAGAGGCAGGAGGGCTTCCCGGAGCAGTGTGTCCCTGTGTGGATGCTGGCCATGCAGAAAGGCCCTGGCCAGTCCTAATTGCCCAGGGGGACTGCAGAGACTGGGCTGTGGATGAACCACTGCACTGGGAAGGAAGAAAGCATCTATTGGAACACTCCTAACCATGCACTGCTACTACTGCAGCTCTAGGGCAGCAACTCCTAAAGGGTCAGGAGAGAATTACAATGGAGTCGGCTTCTCCAGGGAATAGTCTGCTTCTAAATCCTGCCTGCCTCATCATTCTTCCAATTTTTAAAAGCCTTTCTAACAGCTCCTTGTTGGATCTCTCTTTCATTAAGGAGTCAACACTGGATAAAACTTAACCAATAGAAAATAATTAGGTGAATGAATGAAATGAATGAAATGAATTTTCTGTAGTTGCTAATACAATTTGGAGTGTTCTGTACAAGGTGTTAACAAATAAGCCTGGTTTTTAGTATGGCACTTAAATCTTCTTGGAATTTAAGAAGGATGTGTTGGATTACTGCAGCAGGAAATTCAAATAACTTCTTGGAAAACTGAACCCAAATTTTGACTGTTCTCACAATCTGTACTTCAAAATATTTAAACCAAAAATCTAAGGGAAGTTTTATCTTTTTATTGGCATCAGCTGTGCAGTTTATTTATTTTCTTTCATTTCTGTCAATTTGGACAATAAACCAACCTGGTTAATTTTCCTTTTTTAGGCACTACTTCATCTTCCTGATGTTTCTGCCACAGAACAATAGCAGTACATAAGGGATTTCACACTCTGGGGGAGAACTTAGCTGACAAATCTATGCATGTTTGCATTGAAATTTTGTGAAAAGTTTGCCCCACAAATTGCATTCTGGAAAATATTTTTTTTTCAAAATGTTCACAGTGGAAACCACTTGAAAGCTTCTCTTTATTATTCATACCACTGTGCCTTTCTTTCTTTCCCACATTGGGAACAAGTCTGGCACCATATGCAGAGCTAATGGGATTTCATGGGATGTTAATAGTAAGACTATAAGAAGAACTAATACAGTATTGTATTAATTAACAGCTGTGCTAAACTGCAGAGGGTGTTAGTGCAACCAAAAGCTTCTGTGATTTATACTCAGACAACAGCTGTATAAGCCTGGATTTGAAAGGACTAACACGCACCCCATCTCCTTCAGGCTCACAGAAATTATACATTAAACCTCTTGTCCTCTTCACACAGGCACAGGAAATGCTGTGGAAGGACAGAAGTTCATTTTGCAAACAAATTCAGAATTTGAAATTCTGTTTTCATTCTGAATGGAGACAGGGAGGAAGAATTTTGAAATTCCTTATGAGGGAAAACCACACAACCACAGTTTTCCAAGCAGATTGATTTTTTTATTATTATTCTGGCAAAATAATGTTTCTTTTGAATGGAAGTTTTAAAATAAATTGCACTTAAAATGTTATTAAGACTTGTTCAAAATGTTAGGAGTTAATGGTGATGTTAGAGAGGACTGTTCTGACTGTCAGAATTTTTATCATGTCTTACTCCCCTGAAATGCAACTCCGGCAAAGCTTTTTAGACTTTTTAAAGAGTTGCATAATAACAAACCTCCGTGTTCTGATAGACGTGAGTTCTATAAAACATCCTTCACATGACTGCAGGCACAACTGGCTGTGTCAAACACTGTCAGCTGTGTTAGATTAACTAAAAGAGAAGCCTGAAGATAACGAGATCAGGGAACCTCTCAGCTGGATTTTAGTACACATAGCCATCCTTTGATAACAGATCTCCAGTTTTGATTTTAATTGCATAAGTCATCTTCTCTAGCAATATGGTTGCACATGCTGAGAATTTCCAGTTTATGGCAGAGGGCTTTCTGCCATCAAATCTTATCCTGTAACTCTTCTGTTTATGTTCCACTACTAATTGTAGCATTAAGGAAAACCACCCTGTGATTTGGTGAATATTCTTGTGTGTCTTAGAGCCTAGAAACCCATAACACAGATGCTTCTGGGATGTTTTGGCTGATTCTTCCATTCTGTTTAACTGGTAATGGACACAAATTTAGCATGTAACATTGTTAGAAACCTCAGGTGAACACTTGCATTCTGGAACTGGCCTCAGAACTAAGGGCTTCACGTTCCCTTTAAGCCACTTACATTGCTTTCATTCTGCCAGGGCTGCCACAAACTGATGTGGACTTTGTGTGAATAGGAGTACATGCAGATACTTGAAAGAGTCTTAGAATCATTGAATATCCTGAGTTGGAAGTGACCCACAAGGATCATCAAAGTCCAACTCCTGGACCCCCCAAGAATCCCACCATGTACCTGAGAGCATTGTCCAAACGCTTCTTGAGCTCTGTGAGGCTTGGTCATTTGTTTTTCCAGGAAAGAGGTATCAGTCCTAAAATTAGTAACAGTGGTTAGCAGTAAGAGGAGAATATTTAAAAGGCCTTTACATGGATCACAAATTAATTTGTCCTTCCCCCTCTTTTCTTCCATCCAGAGGCATCTGCCATGGTGCAGAATACTTGGACTGCAGGAGATCCTTGTACAGTGTTTGTGCCAGGCATTCCTGAGTGGTACTGGTCCCTGCAATGGTGAGAGAACAGCATTGTGGAAATAGGGGAGTAAAGAATTTTATACAGATCTAAACAGCTGCCACATTTCACAGGGCACAATATATCAACTGGTCATGTACACACCAGAGTGGTTGCAGTTCGTTAATGAAAGATGTGGTTCCAAGATGGATATAGAAGTCAAAGTGGTTTAGGATGAAAAGCAGAATATAAATGACTGGTTTGGTTACCAGTGAAATACATTTTTCAGGGTGGAAATGTTCTTCCTGTGTTTTGTATATCTTTCCTATTTGAATTTCCAGAATGCATATACATAAACATATAATGAAAATTCGTTCCCTTAACTATGTGAGAAGAGAGAAAAGTGAAATCTTAATTTAGTAGAAAAACCCATATTTCATGGTTTCCACATTCCTGGAAATTAATGTTTCATGGCTGTATTGCTTCCACAGTGAAATAGTAAAGCTTTTCTGGTGACATAATGAACCTCAAGAGTAAAGAAACACAAGCCCTTCAGGAGCTTAAATGCATGAGATTGCTGCAGACTGAATAATATTTTGATTTCCTCCTTTTCCAAGCTATATTTTAATTCAAGATCTCCAATTCAACTAGCTTGGACCATCTTTAAATTTTCCTTAATTTGGGTAAGGACCATTCTTGCCTTAAAAGTTCGGGCTCTCTGCACTTTACTATAGTATTTAAAAATTATTCACAAATTTCAAAGAGAAGATCTTGCTTAGAAATCACCTATGTATCAGTCACTTTTTGATGCTCTGCCTCAACTTCCAGGCTATTTAAACCATTAATTTAAAGAATGATCATCTGATTGCAGAGGGAGTTTCAATCCCATTTGCTTGGTGCTCATTTAAGACTTGTTCCCGATCTTGATGTCACCAGAAATTTAACCCAAGATCAAGCCCCTGTCTGAGACGAGGTTCACAGAACACTGAAGGTCCTTCAAGCTCAAGTGCTCATCCACCACCAACAGGTGATGAGGGAAATACCCAATCTGTCCTTCCGTCAGACGTTTCTCCCAGGCCACCACTACTCAAGCAAAAGCTTGGCCAAAGCACAGTAAATCCTGATTCTGCTGTGCCACCACAGTATGGTGTCCCCAGGTCAGGTCCATTGCTCCTGCTTACCTTTGTTAACGACTAAAGCCTCCCTGCAAAAGAGATGCAACCCCCAAATGCTACTGCAACCCAGCAAATGTAGGGAAGCAGTTGCAGCATTCTGAGGAGCCATCCCAGCTGTGCAGCTCCAGCAACCACCAAAGCTCAAGCTGTTTGTGTTCCTGAGGCAACTCAGGTGTTCCAAATGGACTGACACAAGAGCCTCCTCTCTCTCCAGTGGCTGTGCAATGACAGTGCATCCCTGTTACGACCAATTCAGCATCTTCACTGTTAAACAGGAATTCAGTGCGATCTGAGCAGATCAAAACTGGAAGAAGGCATGGACTTGGATAACCAAACAGCCACTAAAAATCAGAGTCAGAGTAGCAGGACACTGCATTGATGGGAGCAATATATCCCTGCCTAATGCCAGCTGGCAAAGACTTTACCAGTCATTCCACTGAATGCCCTGAGTACCTTTGTGCCATCCACTTGTTTTTCCCATTCTCTTAATCCAGGCTCCCCAGAGCATTTACAATGGCATATCAGCCAGTAGGGCTGTCTAGAGGAACTTGACTCTTACATGTAATTAAAACCAGTGGTGCTGCATCCCATCCTTCTTCTCTTCCTTTGATGCTCCTTCCTATTAGCCAAGAAAATCCTACCTCCACTTGCCAAAAGTGATTTGTTCTCTGTGGACATCACCACATCTTGCTGAAGTAAAACAGATTACCTTTGATTTTAAGAGGAGGTAATTCTGTTTGTCTGAGAGCAATAACAACATGCTGTATTTCAGACATAGAGGTTAATACCTGTCTTTTCCAAATGATGTCAAGTAGGCACTTCCAGGCCATTGCACCAAACAAAGCTCACGTTCTCATCATCACCATAAATAGCAATATTTATATCACACTATACATCCCTAGGCCTTGAAACATGGTTTTCATTTTGTTCAGGATAAGGAAACGGAGGCAGAGAAGGGTGATCTGGGCAGCATTACCAAGTGGTGACTGTGAGTGATTAACACCTGTACAAACCAGGCCACTAAAGGAACTACAGAATGTTTTTCAGGCAGACATAAACTGATGCTGGTTGTGCTTGGAGCAGATTGAAACAGCACAGTCATGGTTAGCCTGCTTACCAGGCCAACATGGAATGTTGTGCAGAGAGGGCTCAGGCTCATGAACATAAACAGCTTCTGGTCCTTTCAAAGCATTGGAAGAACAGCCCAGTGTGTGCCTGCAGCAAAAATAAAGACAGAAAACTGGTGAAAAGCCTCTCTTCCCTGTATCCTTCTTCCATGAAATGTTGAGTTTGCAGGTGTTTCAGCCTGTTGTTGGTATTTTCAGGCTCCTGAGACGAAGGTTTTTAGAGGCATTTGAAGATGCAGGAGTCCTGTAGGTTCACTGTGGTTTAGCAGATACCTGCTGGTGTCTTTGGATGCCTGTAAGTCTGTGAAGGTCTCGTGTGCAGGAAGCTCAGCTTCACACAAAACTGCACTTTCAAAATTTTCCAGGAGACCAGATTTGAAGGCAGTTAAGTGCCTGCCAGTGGGGGTGGGCATTTCTGAAGCATTTGGCCAGTTCAGTCAAAGTTTACCACTCGCATGTCTTTGCAAACCCTGCAGGGGAATGTAGGCATCTTAGGTACAAATAATCTCCCTTGATTTAGGACACCTAAATATAGATGGCTCATCTAAGGTAATTGTCTAGGCTCTCTTTGCAGTGAGTGAAGAAGAACTCGCCCATGCAGGAGACATGGCAGGTCCACACATTCATCCCATTCTGAACAGATGTATTAAAAGATCCAAGCAATAAAAAAGTCCTCCTGAAAGCTCCATTTGACTGTGCCGCTTCACGGGGACTTGATCTGATTTGTAGGTACATTATGCCTGATTGTGCCCCTCTCCCTTAACCTCTGCCAAGGCCCTGCGAACTTAAAGTCCTGATTCAGAGGCTGCCACTTCCAGATCTGTAGCAGAGATTCACAGTGTCACACATGCCACAAGTGCTGCCAAGCCTCTGCCAAGTGGTAGCCAACGCTTTCTGAGTAGCCTTCTGTGTGCAGGTGCAGCCTGACACTGCTGAGAGCAGCTTCAGTTCCTGCTGCCGTGGCTGCTGGGGCAACACTACAGCGTGCAGGTCCTCCCACACTCCTCCAATGACAGAATAACACACAGCATCATCAAGTCAAAAATCAAAGGTCTAGGTTCAAAACCTTAGTTTGGAAGACTCCCCTCTGGGTGTACATACGTGGTTAACTCTTTTACATATGTCTGCACATACATGTGGAATATATGCAGTTTGTATGGGCCAAGGTGACCTGTGGGCCGTGGAATATGTGTGGCTTGCCAGCTTTTCACAAGGTATCTGCTACAGTGGAACAGGGACAGCTGTGTAATCTGGATCCCCAGCCACACAAAGAAACTGTTTGCCAAGGGAACTGTTGCTGGATCAGCACTGGATGTCATCTGCTCAACCTGGCTCCAACCCAGGGCTCCATGGCAAATCCCTTGGGTGACACCTGACATGTCTCCCTTGTACAACCCTCTCAGATCTGTCCCAGCCTCTTTGAATTAATGCTGCTTGTATCTTAAGCCTCTTAATCATGTGAGGATTTTGTAATGTGCTACACAGGATCATCTAAATGACCTAAGGACCTTGTGGCTCCCTTCTCTCTGGCTGTACATGATCACAGGGCACTCTGGGGCTGAGATGCTTCTTGCCTAATTTGGACATCTGAGAGATACTTGTCTGAGCTTAAGGTAATTGTCAAGACTTCCCATGATTGTCAGTGGGGAGAGATCAGCTCCTCCCAGAAGGCTTCTTCCCTCCTGCAATGGTTATCCCACATACTCAACTGTAGAAGAAGCCTACAGGACTGTCTTAGGTCCAGACAAGTAATACGTAGGTGTTTAAAGGAGGGGAGATGAATTTCAGCTCCAGTGTGTGGGAATTCCTGGACCCTGTTGTGAGACCAGTCTTCAGTGCCTTGTGTTCTTTCTCCCACAGATGCAGAACTCGGAACTGCAGCCCCAGCTGTAAAAATCTTACAACTCTGAAAGCCTCTTCAGAGGTCCGAAGTTAAGGTTGTTGGCAATGACTCCATCTTGGATCTTTTAGCATTTTCCTTTCAGAAGGTATGGGGACCGAAACTCCTGAGAACTCTGTGGAGTACAAAATCACACTGGTATTTGGCTGGTACCTCCCTCAGATAGACATGATGAGTTTCCCAAGGGGTGTGCTTTTTGCACTCTGGATTGATCAGTTTACCAATGAACCAGGGCTGACCTTCTGTTGGGTCTTATTAAATAACACTCTGGTTTTATTTATGGATCAGTATGTGAGTGCATTGCTAAATAAACAAGTGACTTCTCCTAAAATGAGGGTACCATTGGCCAACTCTTAAAAATCCAACCCATAAAATAAACAGACTCCAGGAGTTACCTGTTACTCCCGGCACTGCAGTAACTTCAAGGTAACAAGAAGTCAATAAACCCCCATCAACAAAATCCCCACTGGGATCCAGGCAACTGAGACTCTGAAGCAGCACTCATCAAGAGAAACTAAGTGATTCAGTAAAACATTAAAGTTCCCAGAGGAACAGTATTTGGGCTGCCTTGATTTGGTGAGAGAGGAAGCCCTGACCACTTAGCAAAGGCAAAATGAGGGCCATTGAGGAGCCTCCTGTTGGATGGTGTCTGTAGAGCCACTCTGCCATCTGACATGCTCACAGCCTGTGATTATAGCCTGTGTTTCATCCCTGACTGCCTGGGTGCCAAGGCAGAAGGACCCTGAGCAGAGAGTATGTTCTCACCCTAATCCAAGTCATTTCACTGCTCAGGTAGGATTCTCTGCTCTTCTCAGACTTGCAGATCCCCAGCTGATGTCTGGTAATGTCTTCAGTTTGCAGCAGGCAGCAATTCTGATCTCCATAAGCAGAGCAAACCCTGCCTTGGCCCTAATGTAGATGAGACCAGGAATTAATTATCTCTTTTTTTGGGCTCTTTCAGCACAGGCAGCTTTATCCTGTCTCCATCCACAGACTGCAACCTCTACAGCAAGGACAGAAATACCACCTGACAAAAGATGGCTGAGCATGTCGTGGTGATCCAAACCAGCCATACAACTGCCAGGTACATACAACTGCATGTACCAAACAGAAAGAATTTGGGAACCAGTGGACTACTTTTCATTACTACCTTCTCAGGTAGACATATCTGCTTACAGTCCGGCTTTTATGTCCTCCAGCATTTCAGCATCAGAGCAGGCTGTAGTAATTAATGTACATGGATCCTTTCCACCCCACTGGCAGCTGGGGAAGGACTAGGTAGCTCCATTGCATCTATGGGAACCCCAAAAAGCAGAGTGCATTCATCTTGTCTTACTTCAGCTGTTTAGTCCAGTGGGCTGTTACAGCTGCCTAATAATCAGGGAGGCAAGGCCAGTACCTCTGTAAGACTGATCCATACACCCGGTGCTATTGGACAAATCTGACATTAGGAATATCCTGTCTTCCACTGCTGATGAGTGATCTGGCCTTCAGCTGGGACCAATATTAAATGAGTTGGATCTCATGTTGAGGGAAGAGGGCCCTTAGAGTGTTGTCTGTGTTAAAACAGGGAACAAACCCAGCTCTCCTGTGCTCAGGCCACTGAGCTGTTTTCTCTCTTATTTGTGTGTTTGGAATTTGGGTTTCCAGCGTGGTAAACAAGGATTTAACTACTTCCTCCCTTCTCTCAAATAACTTTCCCTGAAATTAACATGGTAAACAGAGCCCCTGCTCTGTAAAAAGCCTTTCTCCTGGGTGTTGTTTTTGTAACTGATCCTCTGCTGGAAAACAAGCAACTCACATTTCTGCTGAAAACAACCCAAGGGAACATCTAAATAAGAACATTACAAGCAGTTTTATATCCTGCTTTACTGAGTCTTGTAACAAAAGAGTAGACACCCACCCATGGATGGGTTTGTAATCCTGTGGGATAGAGAACCTGTGGGGTAGCTGGCAGCACACAGCAGCATGGAGTGCCTCGCTCCCATCCAGCTTTGTCCCCTGCCTGGATGTCAAGACTGGACAGAACAGCCTCTGGCTCCTGGGAGCAGGAGCCAGAAAGAAGACGTGGCCTCATGCTGGGCATGTGTGAAATGCAAATGTGGTGGTGTAGGAAGCAGGAGAGTTGACAGGCTGGACTATTTTCATCCTCAAACACCCTATTGTAATAGCGGTTTTCAAATAATGACATTTTAGGAAATAATCATCTTGTGGTTTCAGTTAATACCCTTTAAGGTTTAATTCCACTGTGGAGGATTAGAAAACTTTTCTTTCAAAATGAAAATTCTCACATAACTCAAGAATGCAGAAGTGGGTCTAACTGGCCTTTGCAGATTGTCCTTCCTTTCTGACCCCTAACAGTGAGTGCACACAAACAACCTGATGTATCCATGGAAGCACAGTGGCTGGCAGAAAACAAAGATCAAGGCAAAGGTGAGGAAGAGGCAGAGTCACAGATAAGAGAAAACCAGGGATTGTGCTACTCCTTTTGCCTGGAGAATAGCAAGAAACCTGCTGCCTATCGCATGGTCTAGGAATATGACTTGGAACTGTGCCTTCTAAATGGCTTTACTTAAGGTAAGACCTAAAAGCACAAAGCAGCTTACAGCACTTTCATTCACAGGTCTCAAAGGGTGCAGTGCAGAGAGAAGCAAAAGTGTGGGAGGGAAAACAATGGTCCAGAGCACCACGTCACTGAGTAGCCAAGTTGGGAATCCCTCCTGAATCAATCCTGCCTCCGGACAAAGCTGCTCCTTCCTTGTGTGTACAACAGGTACGTTTTTCATAGGCTAGGGCTATGTTTTCTTGGCATGCTGTGCTGCTTTCCTTCACAAAGGAGCTGACAATGACAGCAGGCAACCAGCAGGGCCTCACTGCTGCTGGAGGCAGAGCAGGGCCTGCAAGGAGAGTCTCTTGGTATGGTAGGACAGGAGTTCCAGCCAGAACAGCTGAGGTGAAAATCCTGCACAAATCCATATGAGACACCCTTGCAGCTCAAGACATCCATCAGCTAATCCTCCCTTTGGCAATCTCCCTACTTACCCCTTCCATCAAAGGAGCTTGGATTACAACGGCTGCTGTCCTAATGAGTGAGAGACTCTGAGGAGGATGCTTTCTCCAGGACAAAAAATAAAGTACTTTGCACTGTCTTGGTCACGTTGCCTCTTAAGAGAACCAGGCACTTAAAAAAGTGTTACTGAGCCCCAGGAGGGAGGCGAGTACTCACCCAGGGAGCTGCGCACACACCCGAGCTGGGGCTGAGGGAAGCAAAGTGCCCTGTCTCGTGCTTCAAAGTAATCCTGACCTGAACTGGGCACAGAATGTTTATGTCCCATCTTGCAGATTTTTGAGCAGATTGTGAGGCCTGGCCCTGGTCATGCACCATCACTACAGACCTAGTGGTGTTCCTTGGCAGAGGGAAGGTGTTAACTCACGTTTCTTGGCCACACTTCAAATTTGGCTGACTGTATTTTTGCTTTCCTAAATTCCTGCCCCACCCAACCAACCAGTTTGGATGATTTCCTGATTCCCCACATTGCTTATTCCTTGTGGCATGGCCCCTCTTTCACCCTGGACTTCACTGCATTGTGCTGTATACATGGTCTCAGGTTGTGAGGTTATCTACTGATACATTCCCTGCTCTGGAGAAGCCCGCTTGCAAGATGGGTTTCCCCCATTTTTTTCCAACTCTTGGAAGTGTGTCTGTCACAAGAAGGATGGTGGAGTAGGGCAGTCTCATGTGCTGTCACAGAGCTGATGTGCATAGAGAGGGATTTCCAGTTTCTCATTTCTTCTCACTGCTTTTTCCTCTGTAACTGTTGGAACAAACTGCCCATGCCCCTCTCATCAAAGAAATGTGAAGTTAACAAGAGGCCCCAAATACGTTTCCTGGCAACAAGACAAAAGTAAGTCTACTGAGAAGGTTTTGCAAAGAGAATATTTCTGATGTATACAGTTGTGTCTTGTTCTCAGATGCCCACACCAAAGTAATTACCATCTGGGAGATGCTGACTGGCTGGAAGAACCTGTTCATTCTGGGTCTGTAATGGAGTCTGTGAGGAGCTCAGCTTCCTGGTGTGGAAGAAGGTAAGTGTGTGTGAGGAAGGGAGGCTGGGCCGTGTTTATTTGGGAGGGCAACCTTTCTGGGCTGGGAGCCTACTTTTTAATTTATTTGGTGGTCCAGGAAAATTCGTCACATCACATTCTTCAGCTCCTATTTCCACTGAGGTGGTTACATCACCCCAGAGCCTTTGCTGGCTAACAGGGATGCAGCTGGAAAAAGTGCAGGCTGGCTGTCTCATGATGGCAGAAATGTGGTTTGTCCCTAAGACAAACAGAGTTGCACAGGAGAGGTAGAAGTTTGGGTCCAGCCAGTGAATTTAAGATTCAAGGCCAACTCTGAACTTAGAGCCAACTCACAGTTGGTTTTTTCCATGTCTGCTTTTACCCCATTCATGGGCTCCTCATATCAGATCTAGAGACACATTTTGGCCCCTATGTTCCTGCAAGCACAATGGTGGCAGTTTTTGGGAGAAGTGCTCAGGACCAGTACCAAGGGTTTTCCAGTGATAACTCAAATGGTCTGAGAAACATTTGGATGGTCTGGAGTTGCAGGGAATCTTGACTTCAGCGCTGTATTTCGCAAAACAAGAGCGAGGGATCAAGGCCTGCAGGAGCTGGGGCAAACACTGAGGCACAGGGTTGTGGAAAAGTGCTGAGGCCTGAGGAGAGTAGAGAGTCCTGGAATGGGGGGTAAAGAATCAGTGGCTCTCCTATCACATACTCGCTTTTTGGTGTTCTCTCATGTGCCAGTGTGAAATACAGAACACTTGGTGTTCTTGGGTCACAAGCCCTTGCTCTGGCATGCCTGGGTTCAGACCCTCAGTGTTCAAAGGGATGTTGGTGTATTTACTCCTGGAGTCTCACAGCACCTCTGAGAGGTGTCCGAGTGGAAAAGCAGTGCCGGGAATCACCTTTCACAGCAGAGAGTGCAGCAGAGTCAAAGGAGAACCCTTGGGGCTGCCTGGTGCTCAGCCCGCTGTGTTCTCCTGCACGTGCTGCTGTTTGCTTTGCAGAATGCTGCAGCTGCTTCTGTCTCATGTTTCTAGTCTATCTTTACACCAAAATCTTAACAGCAGTGTAAACTGGCATAATTGGTTTTGATAAAATGCACCTCCAAGCTTTTGCAGGCCTGGATTCTGCTTCCAAAAGCTGAACTGTTCCTCTTGCCTTGCAAATCAACCATACTCTCAGAGAGTTCATAAATTCATGCGTGCTCTTTAAAAGAAGAAATCAGGAGGATTTTTTAGACATTTTTAGGCAAAGGTTCTCCTTTTTTCCTTTTTTTCTTTTTTCCATGCAGCCTCCTTGGTAACCAGTTAAAACAAATTCCTCCAGACTGTAAACTAGAGATAATGGAGTTCGCCTTTAATCTCAGCCCGCTGCAGATCAAGTTACCTCTTAGAAATTACTTATCCTGGCCAAGTAAATGAATTGGAATTGATGTTCTTAATTGTTTTCTAAATTGCTGTTCCCCACTCCCTTCCTCCCCTTCTCTCCACAGCTGTTTCGCATCAGAGTCTAGTCTAATGGGTACTGTCACTCACACAGGGGGTGAAGTCATGTGGTCATAAAAGAGAAAGATTGGGGGGAAGAGAGGGAAATACCACCCAGTGCATTATCTGGCTGTGACACACATAAACTGAATAGAAATAATTCCTCCTAGGGGGCTAGTCCCAACAATAGACACAGTTCTGTCTTGGGCTAGGAAAATGTAGAGGCTCACTCCGCTCTCTGATACTTGGTTCTCTGTCACAGAGAGGGAAGATGGTTCAAGTGCTAGTTTGGGACACAGGAAACCTGAGTTGAAACTGCTGACTCTGCAGCAACCTCCTTTGTCTGGTTTTCTGCAAGTTGCTTTGTTTATGCTTTAGTGGCTGCATTTGTAATAATAATAATACAATTCCCTTCTTTTCTCCTCGGGGCACCAGTGGTCTTTCATTAGCTGTATCTTACAAAACAGCTTAACATGCGCTGCATCTCCAAAAAGTGCCCCAGCACTCTGTGTTTATGTATATGAGTCTCCAGCTCACTCAGAACTTGCACTGCAAAGTCTTTGGGCTCTGAGATCATCAGGCCAGGACTAACACCAGACTCCCATCCCTCCACATCCTCTAAAGTGGGCACAGATCTCAAGTCTTAAGTAGGCACAGATCTCAAGTCTTAAGTAGGACCCATCCCCTGAAGACCTTTTGCTCATATAAAAATCATTCCTGCATGTGAAACGTGTGCAAACAAGCTATTCCACCGACTTCCTTGTCCTGCCACTGTGTTCCTTTCCAACCTAGAAATGACCGATAATCCCACTTTTGCTGCCAGCAGTTTTCCAGCACTCAGCTGTTCCCTTATAGACCTTATAATTCCATGGACTGGCAACTGTTTTTGGCTCATCAGTCCATTCAGAGTAGAACCTACAAGAGCAGAGGTTATCCTCTTAACCTCTCCCAGAAGGTCCTTCTTGATAAACAACAGTCTATCACTTACTCTCATTACAATGTCGAGTCAGTTTTCTGAAGAAGACCAGGGATTCAGAGAATTTGCTGCTCACATAACATTCTCTGAAGTGCCTGCTGGAAGAGCACCAGACTCTTGGATACCTGTTTGTAATATCTGAGAGCAATGTGTAGAATAAGTCCAAGAAAAAATGGCAGGAAAGGAGGAGTTTCATACAGAGTCAGTTAAAAAAAACATGCTAACTGATGGTAATGGTGAGGAGAGCTGACTGTTACAAGGGTGGGGATTTTCTGCCTCCTTTTCAGTAAGGAAAATATGGAATGCTTGGGTTCATAGCAGCACTGCACACAACTATCAGGTACCAGACTATTGTTGACACTAGAAAAATTCACATGCCTTTATTCTACACCTGCTGGCCTGTGCGAGCTGCATGTTTAGTGTTCTTCACAACTGCAGAGAGACTCTGACACTGTCTTGTCTGTCCTTACAGTCACAGCCACACTGTTTAGGCAGCCTTGTTTCTCGGGAGGTGTAGTGCAAATAGTTATGGTGATCCACATTAACATCACAGTGCAAATCTACCTGTGACAAACATCAGTCCCATGACTGGGAGGTGTCCTGGTGTGGTTATGGTGTTAGAATCCAGAGGGGATGGATTTTGTTTTGCTTTGCTCTCCTGCATCTTTGAAACAGGCAGGGCCGAAAGCTGGGGACTGTCCTGGGAGGGAGAGAATGAAATGTGCAGGTGTTGGGTGTTATCAGTGAGGTTTTCAAAAGTGTGAGTGTGAGTTAGGACCATTCACACTTCCAAGTTGTGTGAATCAGGTATACCTAATTAATTGTCTAAATCTGGGATTCATTCATCTTTCCAACAGCCCAAGTGTCCAGTCCAAAGCTAGTTTTCAGAGATGTCTCAGAGCTCAGGGTAGCGAGACATGAGGCTGATACATCCTGCCTATCGCAGGCACTACTCTGGGAGGTCATTTGCCTCCTTCACCAGTCACAGGAGTTGTCCCTTACCTGGTTCTGTCAAAGTAATCCAAAAGAGCAGATTTGGTATTGAGAGTGACTGAGTTTGACTGTGGCTCACAGGAGAATCGCCTGTAGGAAGGGGTGGCCACAAGAAGGTGTTGGTAGGCAGTGGAGTCCTTCTTCTTCCTTCATGTGTGGGCACTATTTTGCAGTCTGGGAGGGAAAGCAGACAAAAGGTGTTTAGAGAAATGCTCAGGAAGGAACTGACCTCATCACAGCTTCCTTTTATCACAGAAGGATTTTTCTAGCTCTTGGACCTACAAGCGGAGCTCCTGTAATTTGCAGTAAGGAGCAATCTGCAACCAGCATTTTGCTGAAGAGGTGCCAGGAAGAAAGGAACCCAATGTGCTTTTTCTGTAGCAGTGTGTGCTAATAGCAGGAAGGAGAAAAAATTCATTTATGCCAAGGAAGCAAACAGATGTGACCCTTAGATGGTGCTACCCTTGCTGATGTGAAGTACTTGCTGACTCCTTCAATAGCCCCATTCAAATCAATGTAACTGCTCTTGGAGTAAGGCTCTGCTCAGTGTTAATGAAGATGTCAGAATCTGGCCCACAGGGAATAAATGCATTGGGCAAGAAGGGACTCTTTTATAACCTCCTTCCTAGAACATGTTTGGAGACCTCAATTTGCAGCTGGTTCCTATCTCAAAACCAGGCCAAAACAAACCCCCCCTCACCAGAAGATGCAAGCGTGCCCAGACTTTTGGAAGTTCAGCTCCAGATCCAAAAGTAGGCCTGATCCAAAGCTGATAGACTCCCACTGACCTAAACAGACATTTGGCTTCAGTCTCCACGACTTGGGCCCATCCCGACACAAACAAATGCACCACACACCAACACTACTGGCGTGTCTGGGCCCATGTCTGTATAAATATGATCCCTTTCCCCTTTTTTTTCCCTCTTGCTTTAACATTTTTTTAGGGAAGGAATTGGTCTCAGGGAGGCATAAACTCCCTTCTTTTCCATCCCTGACTGAGTATCAAACTCCTCCGCTGAGATTTCTCCATGGAGACATTGGGTTTTCCTGGCAGGCAGGGTTGCAAACTACTCAGCGGAATGTCTACAGCTCTGCAGCTCGAGAGGAGCCAGCAGGCTGGGCATCCCAGCCAAGGGAAATACTGCTGTCGTCCCAAGAACACTTTCATGGAGACTGAGGTGCATACTGGATTAGAGGCGGCTAAGCTGGCTTCTTGTGTTTTTCTGTTGGTTTCCTTCTTCCCTTTTCAAAAATGTAAAGCCCAGGGAAGAGAAATCCACAGACAAGAAATCGGAGGGATCCTTGTGGATGTTGAAAAATGCGGTTTGTTAATGGATCTTTTTACTTCTGGTACTTCTGGCTTGTTCAACACATACACACACAAACACACATACAGAGAATAACTTGGCAAGCTCGTGTTTTCGTGGCACAGCACCAGGAAATGGGAGTTCCCCTCCCAGCAGAGAAGATCAGGGCAATGAGGCAAAGGTGGGGAATCAAACCCAGCCTGAGTCTCAGTGGAGCGCTGGCCTGGACAACTCTTACACAAATAAGCTCCAGGA